GATGAATGGTGGATGGACGATGTATGTATGTATGATGTATGTATGATAGATGGATGATAGATGGATGATAGATGGATGATGGATAAAGGTTGGATGATGGATGGATGGATAGATGGATGATGGATGGTTGGATGATGATAAATGGATGGATGGTGGATGGATGATGTTGGATGATGGATGGATGGATAGATGGAGGGATGGTTGGATGATGATAAATGGATGGTGGATGGATGATGGTTGGATGATGGACGGATGGATTTGATCCATCTATAGATATTCTACGTGTTCTCAAGTGTTTGCCCAGTATCCCTCAGTGTGTCGTGTGATACTCACTTTTAACCTGCTGCTCTGGCGCCTTGACGTGACTCAGCAGCCCCGGCATGTTGACGCTGTTTCGGTGCATGTACTTGAGGAAAACATCTGCATTCCTTCTGGCCAGAGTGCACGCCTGATTCAAACCAACACACACACATCAGATGTGTGACTTGCAGCTTCTCTCAGGTGTAGGGTGTGTGTGTGCGTTACCTTGAGAAACGCCTCCTTCTGCTCCAGGTGCTTGCTGATCATGGGGGTGACGTGCTCCGTCTCACAGTTGGGTCCCAGTTTGTCAGCTCCTCCGCACCAGTCCTCCTCCCTCTTGTACTCCTGCTCCAGGCTCTCCAGCACGCTGCACACCTGAACCAAGACGCACACTCAATTGGTCACACGGAGTTGTGTTTTAATGGAGGAGTCAGAAGAGCTAACTCTCGTCTACCTGCTCTGAGGTTTTGTAGAAGGCCACGGAGGCGTTGACCAGCTTGAGTCGGTCCTCCATCTTCAGCATCAGCTGCTGCCAGTGAGACGCCACGTTCTCTGCGCAGTCTCGGATCAGATCCATGTCGTAATGGTTGGCCTGGAGCAGAGCCTCTGCCTTCTGCTGGACCTGCAGGGCGCTCTGATGGGTTTTCTGCAGGGACGGAAGACAAAACAAATCAAAGCCCTTCTTGAAGAAATGTACCACCCACCACCTTTGATCAACTAAGATCATCTGAGGCCGAGAAAAGACAAAGTTGTGGCTGTTTTGGTCAAATCTCAAAAACAACATTACATGCAGTCTCATGCAATATCACAAGATACACTCAGAGCATATGTTGTGACTGACTCTCAGCTACTACCACATCAAATTATAGCTCAGTATATGTAAAACAAACTGAATTATAGCAATTTTTGTGTTCACTAATATTGATCTGCTGTGGAAACCATCTCTTGGATTGACCCCAAATGCTAATCAGATGTAGCTGCACGTCCAGTAAATGGTCCTTGAAAGTTTCCCTAAAATCTATCCAGTGGTTCATGAGATATTTTGCTAATTTAAATAGTCAATGGTGAATTTTTTAATAAAGATCCTTCAGTTTGTTAGTAATCAGAATATCCACTGAATATACATCAGCTCCTGCAACAACAGCTTTTTGGTCGACCTCTGTGAAATATACAGAGTTAAAGCCATTTTTGTGTTTTTTAAGGGCAGTTGGCTGTGGCAGCCATCTTGGATGAGGAGGCTAACTCCAATAGATAAATATCAGATATAGATTTATGTTCATTGATTACCTTTGGAAAGTTACATTAAATAACATATGATGGATTCAGAACAATCATAAGCAGCTTGAAGCTGAGCAGAAACTGAAAGATCAGGAAGAGCGCGTCACCTCGATGGCATGTTGAAACTGTTCATGTTCTCTCTGCAGCTGTTCGGCTTCCTGCAGGGAGCTGGCTGTGATCAGACCAGCGTTCAGCATCGACTCGCCGTTTCGTATCCAACCCAGAACCTTCAGCGAACAAAAGCACCAAAATTCACTCTTTGAAGAAGGTGCAGTTAGCAAGAACCGCCTGCAGGTGGCAGGCTGGTGCAGCGGTGGAGGAGTCTCACCTGCTTGACTTCAGCCTGCAGGTGTCTCAGCTGGACGCACTGCTCCAGGTGTCTGCGGTGCTGCTCAGCCGCCACATCCAGCTCCTGCTGCTTCTCGTGAAGGAACTCCAGCAAGTCCTGGACCCGCGTGGCCATGTCCACGTCCCGATCACACAACAGCTCCACGCCTGGAGGGACGCACGACTATTTCAGTCCTCAATCGTCTCAAAAAGACCAACACAATGAACCTTGAATGTTAAAGAAACTGATGTTGATGAAATCTCCCGTTGGATTCTTGTTGAAAAGCACATTTATCTCCACGTCAATTCTCTGTTTCGTGCATGACATAACTAATCCTGTGGTTTCACAGGAGGCCTATTAGCATTTTGAGTTCACAGGTGAGTTATTACAGTTAGTGAGTGGGAGCCTCTCATCACAAACTCTGCCTGCATTGACCCGAGACACCTACACAGAAAAAAAACTCATGTAGCCGACACAGAATCTGTGCAGCATATGAACAGGAGCTCTCATTCCAGATGCAGAGCAGGAGCTAATGTCGAGAACATAAGCAGAAATCAACTTCAAGCTGAAACCCGAGCCGAAGTTTTGTCTCTTGTTGTGTTTGGTGGGGTCTGCTCACCAGAGGCCTGGACTTCATTGACGTACTGCAGCAGCTCCTGGCCCTGGTGGATGACGTCGAAGGTGAGGTTGTTCATGGTGAGGGCTTTGTCGGCGTGGTGCTGAAGCTTCTGCTCGGCCAGCGTCAGGTCCTCGGTGTCGAAGTCGTTCAGCTGACCCGTCAGCTCCTCGTTCCAGGACTCCAGGTCAGAGATGATCTGACGAGGAACGAGTTACAAACAACGAATCACGCAACGCCAAAGAACAAAATCTATGGTGCACTGGTGCAACTGCATATCAAAAACAGTCATTAGGAATCAGGGTTAGGTCAATCACCACCTTAACACAATAACACAATGGGGGGGGGGGGGGGGGGTCCTGTGGCTGTGCTGTCTGAGACATTAGACCCAGGGAGGGACCCCTGTGGAAACTGGCCTGAGTTAGACCAAAAGCAATGCAAAGACCTCAATGAAAAAGAACCACAGGCAACCTTCCCCAAATCAGAGATACTGGTTTACTGGAGCATCAATGGAGGTGGGGAAGGGGCTCCTAAAGGTTCAGCCGGCCCAAAACAGAGAGTACAGGAAGACTCCTTCATGTGTTGCCACCACCTGCGGGGAGGAGAGTCGAGGGTTGGATGTTGTGCAAGGCAGGTGGTAGATGAGGAACGACTGGGATCCCATCTGCAGTAATAAGGGTGTCGCTCCGGTCTGTCATGGTAAAGAGGGAGCTAAAACAAAGATCTTGACTGCTTTACTGGTCAAACTGTATTCCAACCCTCATGTGGGGTCAAAATAACGAGATCTTGAAAACAAGCGAGTAAAACAAGATTTTTCCGTAGGATGGAAATAAGTTTAGAAATGAGGTGAGGAGCTTTTTCATCCAGGGCGGATGTTTGGTTGGTTGGATTGATAAAGGTTATGCCAAAGAAAACCCCTTCAGGTGACAAACCACTGAAATCACCTTATTTCTGGCCTTTAAAGAATATTCCAGAAAACTTGTGTTTTATGGCATTAATGTGTCTTTAATTCATTTCTCTCCAACTAAAATGATTCTGTAATAAAGTAAATATCTGTTGGCAATAATTTAGAAGTTAAATCAATCCATCCATCCGTTCGTCCAACATCTTTATCCGCTTCCTCCTTTTTGGGACGTGGGGGTCACTGGTGTCCATGTCCAGCAGTCACTGTGTTAGAGGTGGGGGACACCCTGGACAGGCCCCCAGTCCATCACAGGGACACATTGAGACAAACGAGACAAACAACTATTCACTCACTCAACTAGGGACAATTTAGAGTTACCAATCAGTCTAACATGCATGTTTTTGGTCTGTGGGAGGAAACCGGAGTACCCGGAGAAAACCCACGCATGCACGGAGAGAACATGCAAACTCCACCCAGAAAGGCCCCGGGCTGGGATTTGAACTGGCGACCTGCTCGCTGAGAAGGAACAGCTCTATCAACCGAGCCACCGCGCCGTGAATGTTAAATCCCAAATTTAAAAAGCTGTCAACAAAAATGTATGTATTTTTTACAATTGTAGATCATAAATTTTAATATCTATTAACGTTAATGTAGATCTCTTGAATTTGATCTAAAACATAGTTAACAAGGTGAAAGGCTGTTACTAGGATTTACAACAATAAAGAGAGATAGGACTGCGATGTATACATGTTGCAACAGCTTACCATACATTGTGCCAACTCAAGCATGCAGGCAGAATTAAATGCACACAGGTCATAGGGCTGAGTGACAGCTGAGCACACAAACATGTTACTGCACAATAATGTACATGAACAATGGTTTCACATCAAACTCAACAAGGTGGCACCAAAAAAAAAACAACAAAAAAAACCCAACACCTGCTTTCAGCTTAAAAGCTCTAAAGCGGCCGACCTCCAAATGCAAAATGAAAGCATGAAATGTCTTTGAATAATCCACCAGTAACATTTAGAGCATTATGGAGCTGCAACACTCACATCGATGGCATCCCTCTCGAAGATGCGGAGCTGCAGGAAAAGCTCCAGTTTGATCTTTCTCTCCTGGAAGAGCTCCTCCATCTGGGCCTGGGCCTCGTCCAGCTGCTGGAGGACGCTCTCGATGTGGTTGATGGAGCTGTTGTGGGGTGTCTTGTTGCTGGAGATGGCAGAGTCCCTGAAACACAGAAACAGTCACAATGCTGCGTACTTTAAACAACGCTGGGAATTACGGCAGCTGTTCTAAAAGCTGCTGCGTCCAATAACCTGCTGAAGACTCAAACAGGAAAAGAACCAGACCAAAACAAAAAAAATGGCTAAAACTGTTGGTCTTGAAGACTTTGAGACCAAGAATGATGGAAACAATTTCCCTCCCTTTAGATTTTTTTCTAACCTGACACAGAAACAGCCAAAAACATCCTGGCCCTTGGGCCTCCAGTGGCAGGTGATAACCAACCACCAGTTTCAACATGTCTTCTTCAGACTTCAATTCAAATTATTTAAAAAAAAAAAGCCTTCTTCTTTCTTCTTCTTTCGGTTTCTCCCTTTTTCAGGGGTCGCCACAGCGAACTGACTCGTACAAAGACTTGACAACATTTTTTATGCCAGATGTTCTTCCTGACACAACCACAGACCACCGAGCTACCACAGCCCTCTGTGTGGAGCAGAGAGCTGCTATCTAGGGTAGAGTTGTATTCGAGCCCAAAAAATCCGACCCGTCTCCAGCTCGTAGCCATCATTTCCGAACCCCACCCAACCCTATGAATTAACAGTAATTACCTTTAAAAAAATTTAATTAAGCTTTGACTGACTAGTTAACAATCGGTGGACGCATGCGGCTAAGAGGGCAGAAGATCGGAGCTAAGGGTGTGTTTGTCCTTTCATGGCCGTCAAAGCACATTAAATCCCTGCTTCTGCTGCATTCTGCATTATTCAGACACGGACCCTACTCTGACATGTCGGATATTTTGTGATCTCATCTGTTTGGGTCATCGGCCATGTGCGTCCGCTGAGTGCAGCGGCTGAATGAACGTCCGTTTCAAATCAATTGGCTTCGGTTGTGCTGGTCGCTTATTCCTGTCCCATCTGAAGCTTAACTGAATTGTTTTTACCTCTTTCAAGGTCGGTCAGCTCCCGGTCAAATCACTGCATGCGGCTGGTGATTGTATGGCAAGCCATGTTGCCATATAATTGGATCATCAAACGTGTGCATCCGCGACACAATCAAAAGCCTGACACTGGCCCGGCCTGCACATTATAATGGCCCAGCCCTGCCCTAATCCGGGTCAAGCTGGGCTGGGTCGGGCTCAGGGTTTGGGTTAGAAAACAGGAACATGCCTGCATTGGTCCTGGCCAGGAGTCCAACAGATTCTTAAAGCCACTTGAAATGACAGCTCTAACCTAGGGCGCTTGGGGGAGCAGATGGTGGGTGTTAAGTGCCTTGCTCAAGGGCCCAGAGTAGGGCAAATGAGGGTGGAGGCAGGTGTGGGTGCTTCACCTTTCCACCCACATTTGATGTTGTCGGTCCAGGGAGTTGAACCTGCGACCTTCCGATCACAGGCCCACCTTCTCTAACCTCTGTGCCACCACTCCCCTTATAAATATAAACAATATATATATTTTAAATGATTTTAAAAATGCCTATTAGGGTTAAAACACTTTCTGTAATAAGCTTAACAATCCATAAAAAACCATCAGATTCCAGGAGTACATAAAAAATTAAGTGTGTGTGAGTGTGTGTGTGTGTGTGTGTGTGTGGGGGGGGGGGGGGGTAAAAACAAAACATTGTGTACAGATGATGATTAACCAATCAGACGCAAGCATGCACCAATGTTCAGACAAGAGTTCAGTAAAGCCAGACAGTGCAGGTGAGGAGGTGGGTGTGCTCGTGATTAGCTTCAGGTTCAGTAATCAGTGACAGATCCACCCCCACGCTGGAATGCACGAAGATGACTGTGCATGTGCGCAGCTCGGTCTGCACGCACAAGCAGGAGGTGTGCAGAGTAAACCGCTGCCTCCGGGAGCCACCGCCACGCTACGAAACAGACTTATGTAAGAAATGTCTGCGGTGTTGAAGGTGGCAGAGACAGAAAGACATGGGGGGAAAAGAGGCGCCGGAACATCCCCTGCATTAAAAATAGGCTGCGACCCCCCCCCCCCCCACACACACACACACACGCGGTCCAACACCTCCTCTTCCCATCAGCCATCTTCTTTTGGTTTTTATGCACATTATTAGTGTTTTTAACATTATGGACTTTTCCTTTGCATATATTTAGCTCTGTTAACAAGTTTATTGTTGCACTGAAACACCATTAATGTTACACCGTACTTGTCCAGTCTGTCACGAGTTTTACATCCCTACGACAAACCCAAACTAGACGTTACTTCAAAATGTGTGGCTCAGTTGAGAGCTGTGGGCTAGGACTTTGGTAGCGGTACATTATGTGGTTAAAGAGGACATTTACAAAAAGACACGGTGGAAAATGTCAGCATGCACTGCAGCGGGACTCTGGCCAGCACGTGAAGAAACACAGCCCCTTTGGAGCTCTGCAGCTCATTCATACTTCACAGCTGGAGCGCGAATCAAAGTTTTAACGGGTCACAGAAAGGTCCAACTTTACAGATCGGAGTTGGCATTTTGATATTTTTAACAATTTTTACACAATTGTAGTTTAAGTTGTAGGATTCCTGGCAGATTTTAACTATGCAGCAGCTACTTTCCACTCTGTGTTTCTGTCTGCCTGCTTTATTATGAATGCCATCAGGGAGTGAACCACACAGATGTGAAGTTACCAAGGTGACCCTCACTTTTGATTACAGCTATGCTGACACCTTCATATCCATTCATCTTATTTATTCAAAAGGTAAATAGAAAAAAGCTGCTTTTCTCCTCACTTTAGTTATTTTTGCATTAATTTTGTTTCTGCGACGTGTTGAGACAAAGCCCTGTCACTGATTACTGGCACCTTTTAATCATCTTTTATAGAGTCGTTTTACACATAGCTACAGCTGAAAAGTAGCTGAAAAGGTAGAAAGAAGCTTAAACTACTAGAAGGAAGTGGAAAGATAAACCATTGTCGACTGCTTTTACAATCCACAGACTTTTCACTGCTCGTAGGAGACAAAGGTCTACAAGCTGAAATGAATGAGCTCATTGCATTACACCAAATAATCCACACAGTAAGGATTAAGAATAAGAGCTCCAAAAAGGTTGTAGAAGTACTGAGTTCCCTCTGTGGTGTTAAAATATGTTTAAAACAATACTAATAATGATAACTAGAAAAACTGCATTTCCTGCAAAAATGCAGTGTGAATGCTTACTGCTGAAGAACTTGCTGAAAAACAGCTGAAATTACCAATAAAAAACTTGCTGAAATGTAGCTGAAAGAACAATCCTAAATTAGCAGAAGAAAGCAGAAATAACACAAATTTGCTGAATTGGGTTTAAATAAGGAGAAATTAGGACAACAATTAGGAAATCAGCTAAAAAGGACTGAAATCAGCTAAAAAAAATTTTGCTGAAAAGTAGCTGAAAGGTAGAAAGAAGCTTAAACTATGAGAAGGAAGTGGAAAGAGCTGAAATCAGATTTAAAAAATGTGGAATTAGCTGAAAAAGCTAAAATTTGCATGAAAACAGCTAAATAGTATGGTAGCTGAAATAGCAGAAAAAGATGAAAGTAGCAGAAAAAAGCTGAAAGGAGCAAAACAAGCTGAAATTAGCGGAAATAAGTTAATTAGGCCGAAAGTAGCAGAAATTACCACAAAACCCCCCAAAAAACAAAACTTGAATGTATCTGAAAACAGCTGAAATTGGCTAAAAAAATTCTAAAAAGGTAGCTGAAAAGGTAGAACAAGCTTAAATTAGCAGAGAAAAGCATAAAGAACACATGTTTGCCTAATAAGGCTGAAAGAAGCAGAAATGAGCACAAAAATAGAATTTATATGAAAAAAGCTCAAATTAGCAAAACAAAAACAAACAAAAAAAATCAGCTGAAAAATAGCTAAAAAGGCAGAAAGAAGCCACAATTACAAGGAAGTGGAGAGAGCACATTTTTGATGAATTAGGCTGAAAAAACGTTGAAATGCATTCACAAAATGTGGAATTAACTGAAACAGCTTAAATTAGCATAAAACAGCTTTATAGTAGCTAAAATACAGTAGTAGAAAAAGCTGAAATTAGCTGAAAGGAGCATAACAAGCTGAAATAAAAAGAAAAAAAATTAGAAGCACAAAAATGTTTTATTTAGCAGAAATAATCTGAAAGGAGCACAAATCAGCTAAAAAAACCAGCTGAAATTAGCTGAAAGTAGCCAAAAAATGTTTAAATTTGCAGAAGGGAGCTGAAAGAAGCTGAAGCAGAACAAAATATGAAAGGAGCAATAAAAGGTTGTAAACAGATCTAAAGATTTGAATGATGTAAAATGAGCTCAATTCATTTTCTATGAGGAAAAAATGACAGAAAAGGCTAAATAACTAAATAGCTTGAAAACTGTGAGATGAGAATTGTGCTGAAAAATGGATGACAGTAGAGTGAACGCTCCACAAACGTTCACACAGTTCATGTATGTGTACCTGAGCTGCTGGATGAGGTTCTCCCCCTCCTTGATGACGTTGACGTTGACCTGCAGCATGGTCTGCTGCTGCTGGCCGAAGCGTTTGATCAGATCCTGGACGGCCTCCACGGACTCGGCGTAAACGTCGTCCAGCAGCTCCTTCTGCAGCTCCTCCAGCCACGTCCACAGCTGGAGGGAAGGATGGGCAACACGGAGGAGAAAGGTCAAGCTTTGCTCTAACAGCCATCAGTGGGTTTTACTAGAGAAGGTCAGTTTTGTTGAGTCTAAACTGAATGTGGTCACTCTGCTCACGAACAGCCACAGAAGCCTTGCTATAATAACATCTACCTCCACGTTGCTCTCAAATGTTCTCCTCTAAACCACCTAAAGAACATCCTGTCTGAGAAATGTCTTTCTGTCTCTGAGCGCGGGAATAAAAATAAAACATGCACCTCATTTAATTTTATCTGTGATGAATCCCCTAACGCTAGCGTCTCTCATCCACACACAGCCCACCATCCTCTTCAGCGTTACGTCACCCCCTCCACCCCCGCCCACCTCTTTGACGTGCGTGTGGAAGGCAACAGACATGTCCAGCAGGACTTTGCGCTGCTCCACGCGGCGAACGAAGTCCTGGATTCGGTCTTCGAGCTGGTGGGCAGCCTGGTAGATCTCCTCTGGGTCGCACTCTCCCGTCTGGGCCAGCTGCTCGGCCGCCTCCAGGAGCTTGTCGGCATTGGTGTACGTGTTCTACGGCAGAGACGAGAGACATGGGAGGACATGTTCACATCAGAAGGGTCACGAAAAGCAAGGACAACCAGCACTTTAAAGAAGGAGACAGGGGCCAAATGATAGTAAGACAGAGAAAGTGGAAAAACAAGTTGTAAAAGTAGCAAATAGAAAAGGCTACATTAAAAAGGCTGAAATAAAAACTAACGGTTTTAGATTTTGTTCAGATTTAAAGAAACAACGGGAGAATACTGAGTTATAAATAAAACTGTTGTGCTGTAAAATTACTCTTTTCTGTGAATCGTATTGAATTGTATTTGGGGAGTGGTGGCGCAGAGGTTAGAGAGGTGGGCCTGTGATCCGAAGATCGCCGATTCACACCCCTGCCCCGACAACATCAAAAAAAAAATTGTGAGTGGGGTAGGTGAAACACCCACACTTGCCCCCACCCACATTCGCCCCACTCTGGGCCCATGAGCAAGGCCCTTAACCCCCACCATGTGCTCCCTAAAAACAGGTCTCTCTTGAAAATGAGTTCTCGTGGCTCAATGAGACTACCTGTATAAATAAAGGGTAAATGAAAAAAAAAAAATTAAACTGTGGATTTGTGGACTTGGAGAAGGCGTTTGCCTGTGTTCCTCGGGGTACACTGTGGGGGGGGGGCGCTCCATGAGTATGGGATTGGGGGCCGTTGTTACGGGCTGTTCAGACCCTATACAAGCAGTGCGACAGTTTGGTTCACATTGCCGGTAGTAAGTCAGGGTGGGAGTTGGACTCCACCAGGGCTGCCCGTTGTCACCGATTCTGTTAATAACTTTTATGGACAGAATTTCTCGGTGCAGCCAGGGGGTGGAGGAAGTCCTGTTCGGTGCAATCAGGATTCCATCTCTGCTCTTTGCAGATGATGTGATCCTATTGGCATCACCGTGTCGTGATCTTCAGCTCTCACTGGAGCGGTTCACAGCTGAGTGTGAAGTGGATGGGATGAGAATCAGCACCTCCAACTCTGAGGCCATGGTCCTCAGGTGGAAAAAGGGTGGATTGAACTCTTCAGGTTGAGGGTGAGGTTCTGCCTCAAGTGGAGGAGTTCAAATATCTCAGGGTTTTGATGTTTGTTTGTTTATTTGTTGTTTCCTTGGCACCTCCTTAGGGAGGTGCTTCGGGCATGTCTGACTGGGAGGAGGCCCCGAGGAAGACCCAGGATACACTGAAGAGACTACATCTCTCAGTTTGTCTGGGAATATCTTGGGAGTCCTCCCAGAACAGCTGGAAGAGGTGGCTGTGGAAAGAGAGGTCTGGACCTCCCTGATCAAGCTGCTGCCACCGAGACCCGACTTTGGAACAAGTGGAAGATAACGGATGGATAGTTTCATGAATGCATGGATGGATGGATGAATGCATGGATGGATGGATGAATGCATGGATGGATGGATG